GTGTGGATATAGTCAGAGAGATAATCACAGGAAGTGAGGAGTGAGGGTAGATATAGAAGGATACAGGAAGTAAGGGTATGGTCGGAGTGATAAAAACAGGAAGTGAGGAGTGAGGGTAGATATAGAAGGATACAGGAAGTAAGGGTATGGTCGGAGTGATAAAAACAGGAAGTGAGGAGTGAGGGTAGATATAGAAGGATACAGGAAGTAAGGGTATGGTCGGAGTGATAAAAACAGGAAGTGAGGAGTGAGATTAGGTATAGGAGGATACAGGAAGTGAGGGTATGGTCAGACGTAGAAGTACTGGTAGGGGGTGTGGTCAGCCAACACAGGAAGTGAGGGTATGGTCAGAGAGATAATCACAGGAAGTGAGGAGTGAGATTAGGTATAGGAGGATACAGGAAGTGAGGGTATGGTCAGAGAGATAATCACAGGAAGTGAGGAGTGAGATTAGGTATAGGAGGATACAGGAAGTGAGGGTATGGTCAGACGTAGATGTACTGGTAGGGGGTGTGGTCAGCCAACACAGGAAGTGAGGGTGTGGTCAAAGATAAATACAGGAAGTGGGGAGTGTCAGGAAGGGGGATTACAGTTAATTATAGAGTTATAATTAATTATTAATTAATTATAGATATAAATGCAAAAATCAGACTGTAGCACATCTTTATTCAGGGCTGATTTCTTTGAATGTAGTTTCTTGCATAAATTCCCCAAGTTCACACTAATTCAGACACTAATTAGATTGAATTACTGTAAGATCAGAGAGAGCGGACTTAATTTGTTGATTATTTTTGCAAGGGAGAAAGTCAACACCAACAGATGGGATTATAGCAGGAACTCTTTGCTGGCAAGAGGGGAGCCGTCTGTTAGACAAAACTTGATCTGTGTAATCAGCACCGTCCTGACTGACAGACTGAGGCGTCATCATTTGTAAAACTCTGCCAGCCTCTTAAAGGGACGATGATCTCTGTGTGTTTTGAACCTTTTGTCCTTTACCATTTCTTATACAAAGCATATAATCCAAAGGGTGAAAAAAATACAGCACGATTGAAACCGTGTACGATTGCGTGCAAATGCAGAAAAAAATCCTCCCTGTTTGGCTAATGAACCTGGAGGAGCGTTTGACCTTGGTGTCAGCTAGAATAATGGCATTTAAACAGAAAGCCAGTGATTCCTCACACGAGGAGAGGGGCCCATTTTGACAGTCGTGGGAAGGCTGGCAGCGTCGTTAAGCAGAAGGAATTTTCTTTTTTACGTCACATCTCTGTTTTTGGTAATCAGGTTTTGTGGAGGTGAAATTAATAGGAAAACTATCAGTTTTAAATCTCATGTGGCTCATTAGCACATTTGTGTATAATTGTCCTTGTATTGTTTTTTTTTTGTATAAATATACTTTACATGCAAATTATATGTAAATTATTAATGATTATTGTTCATTATTAATTTGAGTTTTTTTTCCTGGCATTTTACTGGGACCTCCTTTTTCAGGTGTTTGTAATTCTGTTTGTGCCCCCTCTTCCTCTTCCCCCCCCCCCCCCCCACGCACCCTGGCCCCCACACCTGAGCAGGACGTACAACCTGTCTTTCCTGAGTCCCTACTACAAGCACGAGGATGGGGAGGACAACCCCTTCATCTGCTCCTCGCCCCGGGACAACGGGATGCTGCACTGCCGGAGCGTGCCCCCCTTCAAGGAGGGCAGGACCGAGTGCCAGCTGGGCGTCGCCTCTGCCAACCACACAGACGAGGGCTGCGTCAACTGGAACCAGTATTACAGGCTGTGCCGACCGGGGGAGCTCAACCCGCACAAGGGAGCCATCAACTTCGACAACATCGGCTACGCTTGGATCGCCATCTTTCAGGTGGGGCCTTCCCGTACCTCCCCAGAACCCCCCCATCTGCACTCTCCATCCGTGTCCGAGGCCTAGGGGGGGGGGGTTTGCAGTGAACATGCAGCCCATTTTGTGCGCTTGTCCAGTCAAACGGTCGGAAGCAAGTCACAGTCATCGTGGCGAGTCACGGTCGTCTTTTTGCGAGTCACGGTCGTCGCGGAGAGTCACTGCTAGTTCTCACGGTTTTCCGAGACGGCTTACATCACGACAAAGCTGCACACGGCCTGGAGATGGCGGGCCAAAGCTCTCTTAATTGGTTTTCCTGCTCTGTCCTCACATGGAATGTGGTGGGGGGGGGCGGGGTCTGGCCCGGGTCCAATCAGCGCCTTGTGGCATTCTGTCAGGGGTCATTTTTCTGGGTGACTGACTTCCGTCTCCCAGATCCTTGCGAACGTTGCTGCTGTCAGACCAGACTTTTGGAGATGGGGGGGGGGGCTTCCATGGACTTATGTTGGGGCCACAGGGCTGTGGAGCCGGTGGAAGCAGCATCTGGGAGCTGTTAACGCGGACAGCAACGGGAGCGCTGGCTGTAGCTGGAGCGCATGACGGCCAGAATGATATTCGCCTTGTGACGGACTGGTGGCTGTCGTAATGGACCCGCCCACCTCAAACTTCCCCCACGAGATTTCCTGTCAGTGGCGCCCCCCCCAGGCCCCCGACTCCGTTCATGGTTCACATCTGTGTGTCTTCGCTCGTTTTTTTTTCCACATCCAGGGGAAAGAAGCAGCTTTTGCTTCGCAAATTGCTGGGAGAGAGTTGACTTCTAATGACAGACGCCCCCCGGTGACGTGCACAGGAATTACAGATCCGCTTCAGGAATGTTCCTGTCAGGGGTGCTATCCGTCACAGGCCGAAGACCCCCCCCCCCCCCCCAACACGCTGTGCTGCTTTCACACCCTATTAGTCGTGTTTCCCTCAGCGTGTGACTTTGCTGTGACCGAAAGCCCCCCCACTGACTCCTAGCACACCTGAGCTGCTCTCCTCTGTTAATAAACCGCGAGCGACAAGAAGTGTTCTGCAGCCCACGCGTGAGCCGTGGAAATTTTCTTACAAGTGAAAACTCCGGCGCCGTTGCCTGCTCGTGGGAATGAGCACCGTAAGTCGGTCAGGGGTAGACAGCGGCGTCCTAGGTGTGTGCGTCCGTGATCGACAGCGTGCCCTGTGATTGGCCGGCTCGGGTGGGAGGAGCTTCACAAGTTAAAACCAGGCACTGCAGTAAGGAAGTGATGAATCACGAATCATCCTGACAGGGCCCCGCCCCCGCTGGTTACCCAGCACCACGTCGGCCATGATCCCGGACAAATTCTGATTTCCCTCCAAGACTGCTCACGGGAATCCTGCACGCAGCATCGCGAGCCAGGAATCGGCCGCGGCTCTGTGACAACATCCGTGCTCTGCCTAACTGCCTGTGAGCAGTCGGTGTGTGCAGGTTTTTTTTTTATTCCCGTCTCTTTAAATATTAAGTGGAAGTTAAAAAATAGCGCCAGGCAGTAAGTAGGTGGGTAAGAATCGTGCGTGTGCCAGTCGAATGACACGGGGGATGGGTGAAGCGGACTCGCATTCTCCGAAGCCTGTAATTTGTGACAGCTGGACAAAATGCCTTCATATCTCCTTTGCATGTCTCAGGTACAGAGGGACACACGCAGGCCCACATTAAATCCCCCCTCCTCAGGGCTAGATCTCCGCTTTTTTTTGTCCCGGAGGGGTGGGGACGGTTGCCATGCCGTTGCTAGATGGCACTCCCGTGCAGGGCTGCGTGTTGCTGCTCTCTCCGTTTGGTTTATTTTATTCCTAAATCACTCACTCTTTCCCCCCCCCACACAGGTGATAACCTTGGAAGGATGGGTGGATATCATGTATTACGTCATGGATGCCCACTCTTTTTACAATTTTATATACTTCATGTTACTCATCATCGTAAGTACTCCCCGCTCCACGCATCGCTCTGCTGCTCGAGCTGCAGCCTTTTCCCGAGCGTGTGACTGGCTGCGCTGCTCTCTCCCTGCACTGCAGTTGTCTCTAAATAATGCAATTGCAGGATAATGCGATTCTGGGCAAAGCAAAGTATACTGCTGCCTACCTTTAATGAGCCGCTGGTACAAACAGTGCGATGAATTCAAATTCTGATACACAGTGAATCTGTGCCGTCAGAAGGTCCAGAAGGATGCGACGCTTTTTCTGAGGAGGGGGGAGGGGGCGCTACAGAAATCATCTCAGAGCCTTTAAAGTGATTGTGATTGATGGATAAGTAAGGAGAGAGGACCAATGGGTAAAGAAGGAGTAAGGAAAGTGGATTTCTGAGTAAGGAAGAAGTATGGTTAGAGGGTTACAGAGTAAGGACTATTAATGAGTAAAGAAGGAGTAAGGAAAGAGGATTTATGAGTAAGGGATGAGTTTGGTGAGAGGACTACAGAGTAAGGACTACTAATGAGTAAAGCAGGAGTAAGGAAAGAATTTATCAGTAAAGTATGGCGAGAGAACTACAGAGTAAGGAGTAAAGAAGGAATAAGGAGTGAGGACTGATCAACAAAGAAGGAGTAAGAACAGAAGATGCATAAGTTAGGGGAAAGTATGGTAAAAGGGCTACAGAGTAAGGTGGAAGTGAAGAGGACTAATTAGTAAGGAAGGATTAATGAGTAAAAAAGAGTAAGGAGAAAGGACTAATTAGTAGAATGATTAAGGAAGGAGGATTTATGAGTAAGTGAGAAGTGTGGTTTGAGGGCACCAAATTAAGGAAAAGTAAGGAAGGCTACTGAGTAAAGAAAGAGTAAGAAATGAGAACTAATGAGTAAAGAAGGAGCAAGGAAAGAGGATTTATGAGTAATGGGGACTTATGGTGAGAAGGTTATAAGGTAAGGAGGAAGTACAGAGGGGTAATGGTAAAGGAGTGAGGATTAATCAGCAAAGAAGGAGCAAGTGGAGAGGATTAATGAGTAATGAGAAATAAAGAGTGATGATGAAGTAAGGAATAAGGTCTAAGCATTAAAGACAAAGCATACCGATAAAATAATAAGACACGGTTTGAGCTAATGAGTAAGGAAGAGGTAAGAAATGAGGAACAATGGATGCTGCAAGTGAGTATGGCATGGAGGACATGAAGGTAGAGCTCTCTCTGCTCTTCCCAGGTGGGTTCCTTCTTCATGATCAACCTGTGCCTGGTGGTCATCGCCACCCAGTTTTCGGAGACCAAGCAGCGGGAAAACCAGCTAATGCGGGAGCAGCGTGCTCGCTTCCTGTCCAACGACAGTACTCTGGCCAGCTACTCAGAGCCGGGCAGCTGCTACGAGGAGCTGCTCAAGTACCTGGGCCACCTGTACCGCAAGGTGAAGCGCCGGGCGCTGCGCGTCTACGGCAACTGGCAGAGCAAGCGACGCAAGAAGGTGAACCCCAACGCCAGCAGGGGTGGGACCGGCGGCGGCCGGAGGCGGGCCCGGGCTGCTAGCGGTGACCGCCGGTGGACACGCGCCAACCACCAGCGCCATTACCACTTCAGTAATGGCAGCCCCACCCACTCCCAGGGGACCTATGAGACTTCAGAGAGGCGGGGCTTCTCACAAGCCAGCCCCCGGCCGTGGAGGCCCGGCCCAGGACACACCTCCTACATTAACGGCGGCATCAATTACCCCACCGTCATGTCCTCAGCCCTCTCCGGCTACATCAGTGCCACCCCCAGACGAAAGGGCAAGAATCCGGCGACTCCTGCTTTAAACTATAGCCTCCCTGACCCCTGTGATAGGCTGCACCCATTTGCTGGTGAGCAAGGTATGAGGATGATCCCCATGTTGGTTTTACCATATTATGTTTACTGATCTACCATCAGAATAAAGCACAGGTATGAGACTTATATAGAACATTAAGGGTACACAGTACCATGTAGTTAAATTTACTTATAGTCACCTTAATTAATGGTAGTCTTATGGTAATGGGTTTTTGGCAATTGAAAAGTATCGCCAACTCTCTGTCACAGTCTTGATGGCTCTTGGCATAATTCATGAATCATCGTAGCTCCAGGGTTAATGATTGCGGTAGAGTGACAATTCGGGGATCTAGAATAGAACCAGACTGTGGCGAATGCTGTCATGCGCTCAGCAGAACAAACAGCACAAGTCTCTGTCTTCTCCACAGGCCTGCATCGAGGGGCTGTCTGCCTCAGCCTGCAGCTCCCCGCAGGGGGGACGGTCCCGACCCGGCCTCGCCTTGAGGCCCCTGGCTGCCCGTACTGTGCTGGGACCCTGGATACGGTCTGTGACTCGGACAGCAATGGCTCCGAGATGGAGGGGGTAGCCCTGGAGTTCCCCCGTGAGGTGAGACGTGGCAGAGGCAGTTGGGGTGGCCGGAGCTGGCCACGCAAAAAGCAACATTCAGTGCCACGACTGTGGGAGAAATTCCAGATGAAGCTGAAGAGGGTCGCGGAGAGCAAGTACTTCAACCGTGGCATCATGATCGCCATCCTAGTCAACACTTTGAGCATGGGCATCGAGTACCACCAACAGGTGAGGGTGTGGAGACACTGCTCACATTGTTGGTTTGGAGGTCTAAGAACCTTCCACTGACCATCTGCATATGATAAACCCTTTTGCAAGATCGTGGAAATATAGCCAAAATGTTTCATTATTCGGAGCTGCTCTGAAGATCCTGCGGTTAGGAAAGAATGAATTTTCCCGTCATGGAACGCCGTGCTGGTGACTTTGGAGCAGTCATGGTGTTTTTCATAAGAAGTGTATTGTTGTGTAAGGTTGGTGGTGAGTTCTTAGGAAGTCGGGCTTGTCTCTCAGATATAGCGGGGACAAAGATCCTAATGTTTGAGCGTGGCGGTCTTATGGGTATTACGAACTGGTGTAAGCAGCTGACATGGTTTCTAGGCCAATCGTTGATTTACAGAAGTCCATCGGGACAGTCGAGCCAATCAGAAGGCAGGGAAAGGTCATGTCAGGCATGTGAGGGGTCCTCTGTTATTGGCTGCTCCAAAATGGAGGGAAACCAATTTCTGTGGGTCATAACCATCAACTTTTGGGGGTTCTGGAACTTAGAGAGTCCTTGGTTGGCTTTTTTGATCCAGAACCAGACGTAGTAGTGTTAGCGTCCCCTGACCTTTATTGTGTTTATTTTGTATATTCCTGTGTTTTATTACATTGTGATCTTTGGGGACGACCCCTTTTCTGAGGTCTGTGTCCATTTTTCATTGTTCCGGCAGCCAGACGAGCTGACGGACATCCTGGAGATCAGCAACATCGTCTTCACCAGCATGTTTGCGCTGGAGATGCTGCTCAAACTCCTGGCCTTCAGTCTCCTGGGCTACATCAGGAACCCGTACAACATCTTTGACGGGATCATCGTCATCATTAGGTTCATGCTCCCTCCTCCTCTGCTTGCTCCTTCTTCTCTAAAATGAACCGAACACCCATTGTTCTTCCAAGCCTGTGGGTTTTCGGGGAATGCATTTTAATTAGCACCCACATTACGCCGAAAAAAAAACCCCAGGAAGATGACTTAAAATCCATCTGACTCATTAATTAAGAGCCGAAGCTGAATGAAAGTCTGCACTCTCTGGCCCCTTGAGGTCCGATTTTTTTGCAGATTTTGCGTAAACACAGTTTAAGCAAAGTCACACTGCTTGTCTCAGTACGTAGGCATCTTCGCAGCTCGGAAGCAACGTGTGTCAGCTCTGTTCCGTTTCCTTCACCATCAAGAAGTCAGTGCTTACCAGGACCGAGTGCATGTTGGTCACATGCCTGGCGTGTGTGTGTGTGCGTGTCAGTAACTGGGCCGGCGTGTGTGTGCGTGTCGATAACCAGCCCAGTATGTGTGTGTGTCTGTGCCTTTCTGCAGCGTGTGGGAGATCGTGGGCCAGGCGGACGGCGGCCTGTCGGTGCTGCGGACATTCCGGCTCCTTCGGGTCCTCAAGCTGGTGCGCTTCCTGCCAGCGCTGCGCCGTCAGCTGGTGGTGCTGATGAAGACCATGGACAACGTGGCCACCTTCTGCATGCTCCTCATGCTCTTCATCTTCATCTTCAGGTGCCATTCGGGGGTTGTGTTGCTTTTTGACGTGACGAAGGGGCTGAATTAGCCAGCAGTCGATTGTTATGGATTCCTGCCACCGGTCTATTTTGTACTTATTGGCGACGGTTCGAGTTAAATCCTCTCTCAAGGGTACGACAGTTTCCCCCCCCCTGGGGATCCAGAGCCAGTAATTGTTACCTCCAGACCCTTAAACACTTAATTTAATGAGGCTAAATGTGTTTTCATGAACAAGCAGCCATCGTGAATGAGGTGAAGTTTAATCAATCGTTCATTCTTCTCTCATCTTCGGTCTCTCTCAGTATTCTAGGAATGCATCTGTTCGGCTGCAAGTTCAGCCAGAGGACAGAAAACGGAGACACCATCCCAGACAGGAAGAACTTTGACTCCTTGCTGTGGGCGATTGTCACCGTCTTTCAGGTCAGAGGCGCTGGCGTGAAGAGCGGACATGCCTGCGGGGGCTTAAAAAAGCCAAGGGACCTACATAGACACGCTACCTCTCTCCTGAGTCTCTCTGGTGTAAAAGAGGTTCCCTGGGGGTGGGGCTGTAGTCTCCAAACACTGCCCAGGCACCCCTGCTTTTTTTCGTGTCATTTGCTCCCTCACTGGTGGTTAGTGGACCAGGCGCCCCTGTGCAGCCCAGTTTGCCCTAACTCGCAGTATTGTCCATTTGCAGCAAATGGCTCATTGACCAAGGGTCAATGTTCTTTTATCGTCACGTTTACACAGTACGATGTGATTCTTACTTACAGACTTCCCGCAGACCCATAGTGCCAAACAGACACAGCGGCCAACAATAAATAACAATAAATAACAGAAAATAACACCACTGTAGACAAACAAATGCTTTGAATTTACATGTGCAAGAGGTGCATCGGCGGGGCGAACCAAGGGAATAAGAGCTGTCACAATGTTAATAATAGCAAGATTTTGTGTGCAATTAGCTTTTGCTGAGAAGCCTGCGGGTGAAACTGTCCGAGTCTTAGCGTCCATGAGCTTAAAGTCCTACTGTGTGGCAGATGGAGGAGGGAGCATAGTGTCTGTGCAGGGTGACCGAAGTCCTTTATGACGCTCTCCGGCTCTCCGAGGCCGCTTGCGGTGTGTGTGTGTGTCCCGGCCCGCTGTGAGGCGCGTCTCGGTAACGGTCCACAAGATCCTCACCACCCTCTGCGGTGCTGCGCTCAGCATCTCCAAAAACAGGATGTTATGTAAGCGACGAGGACTCGGCAAGAATGGCTGCCGACCCCAGGATTAGCGGAATTATTTATCCGCAAATGCGAGACACTCCTGCTCCCACTGTCAGCTGAGGGTTGGAGATCATGAACTCCATGTTTGGAGCTGTGGCCTTTTGATAGGAGAGCCAGTGGTCAATCTGCCGCTGTTGATTTGCCACGGACCCCTGTGGACCCATGGCTCTGTGCTTGCAGATCCTGACCCAGGAGGACTGGAATGTGGTGCTCTACAACGGCATGGCCTCCACCTCCCCCTGGGCCGCCCTCTACTTCGTGGCCCTCATGACCTTCGGGAACTACGTGCTCTTCAACCTGCTGGTGGCCATCCTGGTGGAGGGCTTCCAGGCGGAGGTGAGGCGTCGGGTTGGGCTGTTCTTTGGGGGGGTATGGGGAGAGCGGAGTTCAGTCACCGGAGCCTCCGCCCCCATCACCCTGCAGGGGGACGCCAACAGATCGGACGCCGGTGAGGAGAAGTCATCAGTGACGTGTCCCGAGGATGAGAAGCAGCCGGAGTGCCAGGCCGCAGGTGACGCTCCAGACGGCGTTTAATGCTTTTTAATTAGCATCTGATGGGCGGTTGACAGCAAACTTATGTCCGAATAATGGCGGCTATAAAGCAAATGGAGCGGAGGATGTGGGAAGCTGGGAGGGGCCTCCTGCTGCCCGCATGGCCCGCGAGCCGGGCACGCTACCAAAGCAGCGGCTGATTAATGCTCCCGTCCGCCACGTCGCCGCGCTCCGCCCTGGCAGGAACACTCTCATGTGCCTCTCCTACCCCAGAGATGAAGACGTACTCTCTCGTGGTGGGAAACGGGCACCTGGAGGGCGGCGCCGGCAGCCTGCCCGCCCCGGCCATCATGCACACGGCGGCCACGCCCCGGAGCTCGCTGGGCGCCGACCTGATGCATGCCGCCTGTGAGTCACGCAGGGGCAGCGGCGCCTTCGTGGAGCCCGGCAGCTGTGACCAGAGGTCCCCGGTGAGTGGGCGGCTCTGGTCACATGACAGGTCACATGACACCCAATACATACATATTCAATCAGTTACGCTCATTTTGGCTGTTTAATGGATATTCCGTGGTAAATAAAGTTTAATGCCAGTGATGTCCATGGGGTTCACAGTTGCTGCAGCCTGGTCTACACTTCCAGATGAAAAGGCATCCCCGTGTTCTGTGGGTCAGGGGGGGGAGCAGTTGCTATGGTGATGCGAGGTGTTTTTCTTAAGAGGGCAATTATCATCTGACTTGAATATTCTGCGTGCTTTGGCATTACATTTCATTGCATGTCAGACTTACAATGTGCTTTACTGGGCCCCAGACGAACTCAGGACAGGTTAATGTGATTAATTATAATGTGATATTTGAGTTCCTTGGCAGCAGTTTAGTCCCTAAACCCAACCGTTTGGTTTTTTTTTCTGGAGTGAGGACACTGACAAATTTGTGCCTTGCTTACCTCTCCCTGCCCCCCCCCCCCCCCCTCCCCCCCCATGTCTCACCCCTCAGTCCAGTCGACAGGGCTCCCCTTGCACCCCCTGGGGGTCAGGCAGTGCCTGGGGCAGCCGGCGCTCCAGCTGGAACAGTCTTAGCCGCGCGCCCAGCCTGAAGCGGCGGGACCCGTCGGGAGAGCGGGAGTCGCTGCTGTCGGGCGTGGGCCGCAGGGGCGTCGACGAGTCGGACGAGGATGGCGAGCCGGGCGCGGGAAGGGGGGCCGCAGGCGGGGGGCCGCTTCTCCACCCCCACCCCGAAACCCTGGACCTCCCTGAGCTGCTCCATGGACCCGCGGGCCGCTCGTCTGTCGAGATGCTTGACCGCAATGGCAGGACCCTCCATCCCCCCCATGCGGGGTTATTAAGACCCCCCAAGGAAAACCCCGACAGCGAGGAGGACATGGACGACGTAAGTAGCCAGTACTGTCGCCCACGCCGGCCTGCTCAGACACACCTGTGCCTTGTCCCTCCCGGTCATCATACAAAAATAAGAGGAATAATTAAGCTCAAACGAAGCCCCCCTCCCCCCGAGTTCGCCGGGGGAGGGGGCCGGTCGGGGCTTTGATGCATCCAGTGTTCTGCCTCGCCGGCGGAAAAATGGTGTTCGGGCAGTTAGAAAGTCACCTCTGTGGTCGCCGGGGACTCCGGAGAAACCTGGCGTTTCAGACTCAAAAAAGATGCCGAGGGGAGAGTCACCAAACTTTCCTCTCAGCGGAATACAGAGTCCAGCATAGAGCTCTCATTTTTAGCCCTAGTCTGGAATTTTGAAAAATTAAAGCTGTGATCTTCACTATTTGGGATTTTAGCGCCGCGCGCTTTTACCATTCAGGTGGGACTGCCGAACCCCAGCCCCCGGTGGAAGCGGCTGCATGTGTTTCCCATTGAGCCCGTAATTAATTAGCCTCGATCTAGCGCTTAACTGAATTAATGGCACGATTCGAACGGCCGGGAAATGCGCAGCCGAACGTGACTTTTCAATCTTTCCGTGGCCCTTGACGGCACTTAATTAATTTGAACGAGGCCTCGTACTAATTTTCTGTTTATTCCATAAACGATCAATTAAAGGGGACATAATTTAAGGCACAAGAGCACCTGCAGGCCTTTTCTGTGTACATTAATTGTTTGCTAAATGGGGTGACACGGTGTCTCAGTGGGTGGCGCTAACGCTCCGTACGCTACCTCTGCGCCGCGCTGCGTGTGCGCGAGCCTGCATGTCCTCCATGCCCCGTGTAGGATTCTTCGAGTTGCCCTGGCTTAGCTCCCACAGTCCAATCACATTCGCTTAGGCTTCCGGCATCTATAAATCGCCTCTGGCTTGTGTGTATGTGCCCCACGGAGGACTGGATGTGTCCGCTTCGTGCACTATGCCACCTGGGATTGGCCCCAAGGCTCCCCACAGCTCTGTCCTGGATACGCGCTTAGATTGTGAGAAACACAGTTCAGTAGGAGCTTATCAGCCGGAGCTGGGATTAAGAAAAAGGAAAAAAAAAAAAAAGGAGAAAACCTGGTGTGACTTTAGCAAAAACTTTGATGACTCTGCACACGACGATTTGGCTGCTGCTCTGGGTGAGTGGAATCAGCAGAGAGCCAGGAGGTGGAGTGTGCCGGATCAGAACCAGGCAGGGGTAACCTCCAGAATGGCAGCGAGAGTGTGCCACTTAAGCTGGATGTGTTTCTGATAGGTTGACATTGGAGGAGCAGTGGAAGTGTCTCTAGTGTCTTATCTGTAAACTGCATTGCTTTCTTTTAATTTAAGATTTACACCTCCTCATCAACTTAAGGACCTTTTTAGTTTTGATATAAAGAGGGTTTTCTTTTGGTTGTTTAACCGCTGCACCTCCTGCTGGTGTGACTATGGAATGTCTCATCTGACCCCTTCGTTGTACAGACCTGTGGGATCCGGCTGAGGAAGACTTGGGAGAGGTACAGGCCCTGGTGGTGTGTCGATCACATGGATTGGTCCCTATACATCTTCTCCCCGCAGAACAGGTGAGTGCACCCGCCCTCGCGGGTCTCACCGGCCGGGTGTCCGCTCGTGAAAACAGTCCCCAAGGAAACCCGTCCCATCTCCCACAGGTTCCGAGGGGCCTGCCAGCGGCTAATCTCGCACAGGATGTTCGACCATGTGGTGCTGGTCTTCATCTTCCTCAACTGCATCACCATTGCCTTGGAAAGGCCCGACATCCTCCCTCGCGGCAGGGTATGCCGCACCCGCTTTCTAAACCGTCCAGTGCGGAAATTCGGAGGTGGCGCTTGGGGGGCATATTTCATAAATTCTGCCACACATGGATGATGTTCTGCTTTGCTATTTCAGGAGCGCCTGTTCCTCACTATCTCCAATTACGTTTTCACTGTGATCTTTGTTGCTGAGATGACTGTAAAGGTAGCATGCTTATTTAATTTGTCGGTATGGGGGTGGGGGGGGGGTGTATTTATGTGAAGTAGCATTGAGGTTTTGTGGGGTTGGGTGGGTACTTCATTAGCACACCCGGAAAACATGTTCTTGTGCCATTTAACCTCTTCGCTTTTCATTCTGTGGACCCATTCTCCTTGCTGTATTCCCACAGTTCATTCATTAACTATGATTAATTGTGCAGTCAGGTTCAATTGTACAGAGAGACTAACACTGATCTGGAGCCAATCACCTTAGAGAGTTATGTGCTGTGAGCCATATTGAAACAGTGTGTTGTGGGTGTATTTGTTTCTACACAGAAATTCAGATCAGGTTGTTCAGGTTGTTTTTGTGTACTGGTACCACTTAAAATTGGCAGCTCCTACTGCATTTCAGGTTCATTAACGAACAAGACAAGCATGCGAGATCTTACACAAAGCCTGAGGTGCCTGAATGCAGTATTTCCTAAGGCTGTTACTGGATTCTTACTTAGCCAGAATAATGCAGAAAGTACAAAATGCCCACACAAAATATGCGTTTCATTATAGTCACCACACAAATACAATTACAAAACATTTTATTACAATTACATGTATTTCACAGTAATTCCCGACACAAAATACACATTAAATTACAGTTTTTAAATATGTATGTGCAAAATTTGTTTCTTATGTAATTAGATTTTTGAATAACTGGGTGGTATATCTGAAATGACGTGTAACGGCAGGTGGTGGCGCTGGGCCTCTGCGTGGGGTGTGGAAGCTACCTGCGAAGCAGCTGGAATGTGTTGGACGGCGGTCTGGTGATGGTCTCGTTGGTGGACCTCCTGGCGTCGCTGGCTTCCGCCAGCGGAAACCGGATCCTGGGCATCCTGAGAGTTCTGCGCTTGCTGAGGACGCTGCGGCCGTTGAGGTGGGGGCCCGTGACGGGTGGCTGTATGTCTAACTCATGCTGGTAACTAACTGAGTTGGGTAATTCAGGTCCGGAGAGTAAAAGTCCAGACCTAGATTTTGTTTCAACCAACCAGTTGAGCATAAAGAGTCACAGTCACAGAGTACTCAACTGGTTGGTTGAAACAAAAACACGGTCTGGACTTTTGCTCTTTAGACCTGAATTACCCAACTCTCGTAACTAATACCGATCTCTCTAGCCAAAACTGCCAGTCTCCAGTATGTATGTTGTATTTCTATGTATCAAATGAAACAAACACTGTAGGAGTCTGAGAAAACAGTGAATCAGTGTTTCGTGGTGACTGCTGGTTCAAATTCTGCAGAAATTCTACGTTAATGTTGAGAAGTGCATCTTGTATTAAAAGAACACTTAGATATAAAAGATGGGAGAAAATGACCAGGCAGTATGATGCAGATGCCCGAGTCTGACTGATTAGTGCCGCCCCGCCAAATTCAGGGTGATCAGCCGGGCACCAGGCCTGAAGCTGGTGGTGGAGACCCTGATCACCTCACTGCGGCCCATCGGGAACATCGTGCTGATATGCTGCGCCTTCTTCATCGTGTTCGGCATCCTGGGAGTTCAGGTTAGTGCGTGGTTCAGAAATATGGCCGCCTTGCACCTGGAGAATGCAAGCAAATCGCGTTATAATACTGATTTGTCTTTGTAAGCTCAGAAAAGATTAGTCAGGCTGTTTTTCTGACCTTTGTCTCCTGCGTGACAAGGCAGAGCCCCATAAATGAAACTCCGAGTGGGGGGGCCAGGGGTGTCAGTCTTTATTTTAATGCTGGAGGCCCACACAAGAGAGATCAGACTTGGGTTTGCCTCTCTGGGCCACCCTGCCCCATTACGAGGGACATATTGGTCTCCATTATTGTCATCCTCCCCTCTCCTTGTGGTTCAGCTCCGCAGTTCGGATTAACTTCACACTGGTAGTTTTTCTTCCTACAATCTGAACCTAAACGTTGAGTTAACAGTTGCGCCTCCTGCTGCTCCTGTCAAGAACTGCAGGAGCCCTTAGTACAACTTCAAGAATCCTGTAGCACCTTACTATTGCTGATTGTAATTTGTCTTCCTAGGATCCGAATCTGTATGCTTCTAGTTGTGGGTCCAGTTAAAAGTAACGCCATCCGTGTGAACCTGAAACGGGGCAACTCAAAACTGCACCATCACCATTGTGTCATCAGCCAAAAAGCTGAATGATACATCACTTGGGGAAGGAATTTGGATGGGGGAGGATTTTGACATGACAGCGCTCCTTCTTGTGGGATTCCACTCCTAGGAGCTCATGAGCCCATCCTGGGGTGTAGATTTGGAAATTTCAGGTCCAGAAAGTACAAATCCAGACCAAGATTTTGTTTGAACCAACCAGTTGAGTACTCTATGACTATGACTCTTTATACTCAACTTGTTGGTTCAAATAAAATCTTGGTCTGGATTTGTACTTTCTGGATCTGAACTATCCACCACGCTGGGGTGTGACATAAGCAGTTGTCATGGGGACATGGGGCATAGATCATGCTTAATCAAAACAGGATGGACTCCCTCATGCTACCTTCCAATGAGTCTCTTCCTTGCCTTGGGGGGGGGGGGTACAGAGCATGTATAATGAAATTAGTTCCCCTTCACCCCTTGGGCGATGGTTGACTGGACTCGTGATGAATTATGGAATTTTAAGAGGGCGGGTGGGGCCATAGAGGGTGTTTTAGGTTCACTCTGGGCTGATTTATGGGCAGGACTCGTCCATTTCTCCTCCCGCTGACAGGGACTCTTGAGTCGGGATCTTGTTTGCTGGCTGTGTTTAACGTTTACCGTAGACGAAAAGTGAAGCTACTTTTAAGGAGACTTTTACGGCGTCTTTGTGGGGGAGGGAACACAGCGTTTCTGCGGTTGCATGTTTTTTTTCTTGTTGTCTTTTAAGATTCCTAATTACCGTTTTTCTCTGATTTCCTGAGGGAACGCTCTTGTGTAAACAGACGCCATATGCTTATATAGCTGACGAGCTTATGAAATTTATGAAGGTGATGTTCATCAGAGTGGTAGGTCTCCACTAGAACCCCCCCCCCGACAAACTCCACTGCACCTCCCCATTTCCTCTGTAGCTTTTTAAGGGGAAGTTTTACCACTGCGAAGGATCTGACATGAAAAACATCACCAACAAATCGGACTGCCTCAGTGCCAACTATCGCTGGATACGGAGGAAGTACAACTTCGACAACCTGGGCCAGGTGACTGGTTTGCCTCAATGGTGTCCCTAGTGTAAAGTATGATAATAGCGTGTAGCATGTTGGCTTTCTGGATTCATAGTGGGTTTTTTAATTGGTTTCTTAGAATATTAGCATTCTAAAAGTTACTCTAAAAGAGTAATCATCTAAAAGATTAGATTGTGGGTTTCATAAATGCGTTGCCACCAGATACGCTGATGGCAGGCCGGGGGGGGGGGGGGCTCTGTTGACGTCGCTGCTGTGGCCTCCCATTTCAGGCTCTGATGACCCTGTTCGTCCTGGCTTCCAAGGATGGCTGGGTGAACATCATGTATGATGGTCTGGATGCCGTGGCCGTGGACCAGCAGGTGAGCACGTGGGCTAATGGCCAACGACATTTTTCAGTCGTCCTTAATTTCATCAAATGCTGACCAGTACACAGGGTGGGCCTCCCAATAACAAATGGGAAACAGAACACAGTCCTGCCTCCGGCCTGCAGATAACATTGTTTGGAGGGGGTAATGAACAACAGCTCTTAATTTCAGTGATTCAGTTGATGGGTACACAAGGTGCAAGGTCTTTGCTGAGAGCGATTTACCATTGAACCGGCTAGCAGCAATTAGCTGGACGGCCTAATTAGTTCTCCTGATGTTATTAATTACGCGATGCATTTAATGTGGGGGCTACATTCTGTTACCGCTGCTGAAGTAACAGGTTTAAATTGTGCAGTTTATTTATTTGAGTGTAAAAATCACCCCTCGGCAAGATGACTTTGGTGGTTGATGCGGGACAACGGTAAAGTCACATGATGCTCTCACTCTGGAGGTTAGCAGCTGACAGAAGGAGGGTCACGTGACCAGAACCTCTGGGTTTAGCAGGGCGTCTCTAACATAAGCCACCTCCCCAACCCCCGCAGCCGGTGAGGAACCACAACCCCTGGATGCTGCTGTTCTTCATCTCCTTCCTGCTCATCGTCAGCTTCTTCGTGCTCAACATGTTCGTGGGCGTGGTGGTGGAGAACTTCCACAAGTGTCGGCAGGACCAGGAGGAGGAGGAGACCCGACGGCGTGAGGAGAAGCGGCAGCGGCGCCTGGAGAGGAGGCGCAGGAGTAAGGAGATAGGCGGGTCGGGCCGGCGGTCGGGTCGGTAACCTTTCTGAAACCTGCCTGCCTCTACAGCCTGAGACAAACAGCCGCCACCTAGAGGCAGAAGCCCCAAGGTGGCAGCATGGACCCCCGCATGCCCCCTAGAGGTGCACTGCATGAGGGCATGAAGCCAGCCTAGTGGCCCCTGATATGCCCTGGGACAGGCCCAGCACAGACAGAGGCCCCAAGTTGGGCCAACCAGCAAGTGGACTAACACCAAGCTGAACACTAAAAATCCATTTGGTTCATTTTGTTCAGGTAAAGAGGTAAATCTGAGGTTAGAAACTGAGTGACCTCCCACAAGCACACCTCATACTCTACTTACTGCCCTACCCAACATCTCGAGTCAACGTTCTTGGGTTATTACCATGCCTCACATGGTACAACGTAAGCCTTTCATGCTTTACTTGAGGAAACTAAACAGCGGTGCCTATGATGAGCAGAGCATCATGGGTAACTGTATTGTGGAATGACGTGATGAGCAGGTTTGCTGGACAAACAGATGTGCGCTTCGGAGGACCACTGGCGTGCTTCGGAGTAGCAGAACCTTGGATGCTAAGGGTTCTTCTGGATCTCTGATCCCCTGGCAGCAAACCTGTTGTGTTGTAGTTGTCCAGTTCAGTACTTTTCCCCAATGATTATTGTTTTAGACATGGATCCTTTCAGATTAGTGTGTCTGAAAGGCTGTAGGCACACTTATGACAGTGTGATTTGTACACAATAATCATGGGACTTCATGAAATTCTCACTTGTGATGAAATCGGGACATCTGAATAAACATTGATGTACAGCAATGCTAATTCCACCTGTTTCTATCAATATTTGCGATCAACAATTTGAGCAAATATGATAATAATATTTTACAGATTAAATAGCTGTTATCCAGACAAAGCATTTAGCTGACCTGCGAGATTGTGGGTGTTTGGGAAGCTGCGATTCGGCCAAGGAGAGTCTCGTTTACACATAGATATCGAAAACATGCTCATTTGTCAAGAAGTGTATTCCTGTCTATGAGCTGACTGCATGTCACCAGACCATAAGTCCAGAACCAGATCTCCACCCTCAGCTTTCCTCAGATGGATGACTCCCCTGCCGTTCAATTCCCTCATACCTTCGGTTCACATTTTCCCCCAGAACCAAAACCCATTCTGGATTTTATTTAAAAGTGCCCTTTATCCCAGATACTTGTGTGTGTGTCCCCTGTGGGAGAGACACAGACATGGCAGATTTCCAGGCTGGTTTGGGCCTTCAGTCCCACTGAGGAGATCTGTGGACGAGCATGGGCTCTGAAGAGAGTTGATGCACCTTGTATGCAACAGCCATGCCATGTTACATACAACGTTATCAAATGATGGGTTTTCATTTAATTCTGATGGTTTAATTTGGTATAAGCATGAAAGGCATGTGCTGTAGAGTTCTGTGGACCAACAGAGGATGGTTGATGGTCATGTGAGGTCAGGCAGTCATGTAATCAGGTCGGTTTTGTTCCCCCCCCCCTGCAGAAGCCCAACAGCGACCTTACTATGCCGACTACTCACCGGCCCGGCTCTACATCCACACACTGTGCACCAACCATTACCTGGACATCTTCATCACCATCATCATCGGCGTCAACGTGGTCACCATGTCTCTGGAGCACTACAGGCAGCCGCAGGTAGGCAAATTCTTACAGCCCTCTTCCCCCTTCTACCTCAGTGAACCACACACGCTTGCCCACGCTACAGCATCTCAAACCTGGGAAGCGACCATATGATTTTGTTGCACCAAGCCTGATCATTGACAAAGTTTTCATTTGTCAGTTCCAAAAAGACTATCTGGATTTCTCTATTACTGCCAATTACCACATATCTGTCTCTTATTTTAAGTATGTTGTGTGAAATACAATTACTTAAATGAACTGGTTCCAATCATTTGCCTCGACTAATGCAGATTTTTGTGCAAAGAAACTAGTTCTAACAAACCGTTCAGCTTCTTAATCATCTCGAAGACCAGAACTTAGTAAATACTTTATGGAAGGGTTTCCCAACCACTGAATCGCACAGCAAAATATACAGAGGTCCCCCCTGGTCCATGAAATTTACAGAGGGCTGAGGACCCCTGCCCCCAGGCCTCCAACATGATAAATGCTGAATAGTTGGGCTTTGTGTTTGGAAAGGTTAAGGAATCCTGCTTTAGAGCATTGAATGATTCAAAAATTACATTTGCTACTATGCTACAATCTGAAATTGGACAATTTTCTTTTGCTGGCTTGTCTCCTTATCAGTACAGTACACCTTCACGCTCGACCTCTGCTGAGGTCGTTGATCTAGTTACCTGTAAGGTTTGTACTAATGTATTCTGCCAGTTTTACTCATATAATATGTCTGTTAAGTCATCGCAGGCTTAAAATTTTCGTTTAAAAATGTGAAATATTTCAGCAGTATATATTGCAGTGTTCCGCAATCCAGTCCTCAGGGATCCACAGCCAGTCCATGTTTTCTTTGCTCCCTCTGAGCTCCCTGGCAGACAGTCCACAAAAGACCAGATTGAGAAACACTGGTCTAAGTCATTCACCGTTGCAGCTTGTTCCTCCAGTCTCATGAACGCAATATACCAGGAGTAGGAGACCCCTGGATTTAAGGCATTAAGCGTCCACCAAAAAAAACGTAATCTTAGGTGCTCCGTGTCCAGAGTTAAAAACCCCTCGGTTGGGGTCTGAAAACATGACGTCCAGATGGATGATGGTTCCCGCAGATGTGGTGTGATGGATCAAGCCGTTGACCCGTGACCCGCTTTTTCTTGCCTCGCAGTACCTTGAGGTGTCGCTGAAGTACTGCAACTACTTCTTCACCGTGATCTTCATCCTCGAGGCCCTGCTCAAGCTGATCGCGTTCGGATTCCGCCGGTTCTTCAAAGACAGGTAGCGGGTCTCGCCGGGGGGGGGGAGCTTCCTGGGCCGTGGACTTCATCACCTGGCTCACAGTGAAGCTTGACGCCAGTGAGGCCTATAGCAGCGCCAGTCTGAAGTGGAAAGGCTGGGGCTTATTATCACCCATTAGAGGGGAGGTGTTTGTCACCCGCAGTGAAGTGTTATTTTCCATTAATGGGGAAATTATCTTAAATGGCTTGGTACTTCGCCTTTTGAAGCTCCACTGAAGGATGTGACATCCATTCTCCCAGTTTAACTCTGGTGATGACAGCAAGGCAAACCCTGTCTCTTGGGAACTGTGGGCAACACATAGCCCAGTAAGGACTTGAAGATCGCTAGTTCAAATCCGTTGAGGGTCCTTTCTATAAGAGCGTTGAGGTAATTAGGTAGAAATACTTCAGAAAATTTCCTGCTGTATAACTACAACCTTGTGCAAATTACTTGAAACAAGTAATAGTTTTTTTAGTCTGATTATAAGTTTCCTTCTGTAAAGCCAAAACTACGCCTTCATTAATCACTTTTTCAATGGGTTTTCGTAGAATGGACTGTACCACAAAAGATAAGCTTATTCAGGTGTTAATTCAGTAATGGTACTAAGACCCCAAGATCATTGAAGACTGCTCAAAATTTCTGGATGTCATGCCAAATTGCATCCAAATGCTACCGAGGAGGTCATATTATATGTTGAAATGTTGAATTTGTTTCAATTAATTTGTGCAAGGGGGCAGATGAAGCAGCAGGTGACTTGTGAGTCATCATCCAGTGGCGGATTAGGGTTACGGGAATGCCCGTCTGTTCCCAGGTGGAACCAGCTGGATCTGGGAATTGTCTTACTGTCCATCATGGGGATCACGCTGGAGGAGATTGAGATCAACGCTTCCCTGCCCATAAATCCCACCATCATCCGCATCATGAGGGTCCTCAGGATTGCTAGAGGTAACCCCCCCCCCCCACCTGTCCTGGTTGCTTAGCGAGGATGTTATGGTTTGGTATGATTTCTTAAGTCTGAACCCCCCTCACTCAATGTTTCCATGCCAATAACCCCCCCCACCCTCCACACCAGTGCTGAAGCTGCTGAAGATGGCCACGGGGATGAGGGCCTTGTTGGACACAGTGGTCCAGGCCTTACCACAGGTGTGTGTGTGTGTGTGTGTGTGTGTGTTTGTGAATGTGAGCATGTGAAAGGCCAAGTGCGTGCAGGTGTGTCCTGCACATTACATGTCTCTGCCACCTCCGCTGTCCCATCATGCCCTGCGTCATCCACTTCTCTCCACTTCCAGGTGGGGAATTTGGGGCTGCTCTTCATGTTGCTGTTCTTCATCTATGCGGCCCTAGGCGTGGAGCTCTTCGGGAAGCTGGGTTGGTATCTCTCCTCCTCAGAACATCTGAGATGCAGCTCCCGAGATCTGCACTCACATCTGCGTCGTCCAGATACTCTCTGTGAAAGATGTGCCTGGTTTATTATTTAAATGAATCTGCAGGAACCTGACAGGAATACTGCAGTGACAGACTCTTATCAGAATCTTTTTATTTGCCAAGTACAGAGAAGTACAAGGAATTTCTTTGGCCGCAGGTGGTGTCATGACTGATACAAATTAAACATACAACTAAAAATCTAATTGTAAAAATACAAAGACATTAAGTAGAATAAAGAACTGGCCTTTTTCAGAAGAAACATAACAGCTTGTTTATAGTGCAAACGAGTCTATAAGGGTACGAAACTTGTGCAGTGGGTGGTTAGATTATGAGACAGTTTCTCATGGGTCCTTATTTAGAATGGTGATGGCCTGTTATATTCCAGATCGAAGATTAGCTCAGTCGAGAACCGCCTGGAGAACGCGTTCCGACTCGAGCAGACCTGCTGTCACTGTGTCCCTGTTTGTGTAGAGGCACCGAAACCGTATTTATGTGTGAAGTGATCATCCACACGTTTTTTCATTACCACGTCCAGGCCTCCTGTTACCTTGGGCCCTGCTGTGCCTCTTCCGCCATCAGAAAGCGAAAACTGCCACGGCTATGGCCTTATGGGCGCCACAGTACGGCCGCTCCTGTCAAATAGGTCGCTGTTCTCTGCAAGAACCACTTTAAAAGGCACAAACTGCTGGGCTACGTGACAGGGAAAAGCCACCGCGTCCTAGTCAGGAATGTCAAATCACATTAGCAGGAGTTTTAAGATTTCAATAACATATCTCATATCTGCTGGTCTGTGCGGCGGCTAACTAGGGGCTAGTGTTGGGAGACAATGTAAACGTTCGCCGGTCACCATGGTAACACTGCAGGGAAGGGTACAGGCGGGAGAAGAAGCGTGGTTTTTGCACAAGAGCATAAAAAGCCAGCCGCAATATTGGACACTGCACGCGAAAGGGTGTTCCGCTGCAGTTTCTGACGCGCTTCGGAAGGCAGGTCATGAAAAATGTAACACTTTTGAGATAACAGAGAATTAAATATCTTTCGGGGTGAGTGGTTGAGAAAAAAAATAAGTCAGGATCAGTTCCGAAAAAAATATGCAGCCATTAAGATCTTTTTTTAAGCAAAGCGGAACATGAAGACACAGCGTGCTTTCACAACTAATGAATTTGATGCCTGTTTTATGCTAATGGTATACTAATTTTGTGCCGGGGGCATTATTGATAATTCCGATTTACATTCCAGAATGTACAGATGACAACCCCTGTGAAGGTCTGAGCAGGCACGCCACGTTCGAGAACTTTGGGATGGCGTTCCTGACCCTGTTCAGGGTGTCCACCGGGGACAACTGGAACGGCATTATGAAGGCAAGTGCGCTGAGTGCCCCCTTCCCCTGTCATTGCCTATGATAAGGTTGCCCCCCCCCCCATCCCTTAGAAGATCCTAGAATCGCCCCGGTATGTTTAGGAGACTTCTGAAGGTGTGGGATAATGAAGAAAGCTGATGTAGGAGAATGTGATGATGAACTGTCACGTTGGAGGAACGTCGTGTTTGAGTATGAGATGCTGAAGTGCGGCGAATTGAAGTTGACGTAGGAGTGTGAAATGTTATGGATGTGAAGGTGATACAGGACATGTGCTGCCCTCTGCAGGACACGCTGCGGGAGTGCAGGACTGAGGATAAGCACTGCCTGAGCTACCTGCCAATCTTCTCGCCTCTCTACTTCGTCACCTTCGTGCTGATCGCCCAGTTCGTGCTGGTCAACGTGGTGGTGGCCGTGCTCATGAAGCACCTGGAGGAGAGCAACAAGGAAATGAATGAAGACGACGACATGGACGCCGAGATGGAAGCAGAGGAGGAGCGGCGATTCAGTGCGGCCTCGGACAGCTTGGACCTGGGACCGGAGAACCGGCCCACCTACATGACACCACGCTCTGGCTCACCAGATCAGGCGAGTGACTGTGCTTTCCCCTCTCACAGATACGTTAATCCATAAGATTGCTCCTCCAGGGGCTTCTGGTTTGCACGATTTGCCATATAGCCATAGGGGCTCTGGCACTGAAAGGGGTAATGAAGAAGAATCTGGTCACATGACTCATTCTTCTGGCATCACCTGGTTTGCTACGGTAATACAGTATCTTGTCCATTATCCAGTCCCTAAATAAAAATCATTTTGCGAAACATCCACTAGATGGGACTTTAATTGCCACATGGAGCCGGCAGAAGAAGCACACGGCAGAGTGCCGGGGTCTTTAATTCGATCTGAAGGCAAACACAGCTAATCAGCATCCACTGGCCTCTCCAGACAGGGGCCGTGCTGAAAGCTCTGTCAGTCACCCTCTGCTTTAAAGCATGTAAGTGGTGATTTGGTGGACGGACGCCGGCATTAGTTCTCTTGTCAGTCATCCGGCAGGGGATGCCAATGATGCGCCAGAGACTCCAGGACAAACGAGTTAAAAATAACTGGGGGTTTTCTAAGGCAGTCAATACAAAAATAAGTCTTTAAGTCACTGAACAACCCACAGAATGAAAATTAACATTGCAGAAGAGAAGAGATTTTTTCAGCTCTTATCTGTTCTTTGAAATGTAGGCAGCTGAGGTTCATGAATCTTGAATTTTTTTTCTTTTTCGCACCCGGGCCACCGTACCTTATTCGGAAAACCTGTTCCAATTTTCGAGACGTTAATGAGATGAAAGAAGGAAGGAAAGAATGAGTAAACAGGGTTTTCTGCCTGCAGGATGGAGGGTCTTTTCAGCCCAAGGAGGACTTGCTGTCTTTGCAGAAGATGTCTGTCTCCAGGATGCACTCGTTGCCTAATGATAGCTACATGTTCCGGCCTGTGAGACCAGCCAGCGCCCCCTATCCTTTGCCGGAGGATGGTCCCATTGGCAGAAGTCTTCATTTAGGTAATGTCTTAAGCATTCATGGTCGCTGAGTCAGCATGAGGTTAAGACTTTGTGTTGAAAGGCCCAGTTAGCTACCTTTGAATGGGTTTGTTTTTAGGGGGGGGGGGGGGCAGGCCATCCAGCTCCAACCGGGCAAAATAAATCGATGAGGGACTCATGGCCAAGGACTGGGGGTCACTGCACTAGCTATGTCCCAGAAGTTTTTAGGACATCATATCTCTGGTATCAAGTCATTACAAGTCACAATAGCACTTCATAAGAAATTTCAGGTGACCTGTGTCAGACTCATTGCCAGCAGGAGAAACCCATCCCCGTGGTTTGGCTTTCCGCTTCTGCAGGTTCCACAACTTCTGTTCAGTCCCAACCCTGTGGGGAGAGCTTCCTGCTGCAGGTGCCTGGAGCGTCTCCCCAGACACAGTGTGACGACGGGGGCCGGCCAAGGATCCAGCCACCCCCGATGAAAGCCTACTTGGGCAACGGCAAGTCGCGCCGCCAACAGGTAATGAGGCGGCCCTACCGGCATGGTCAACACGGTCCGTGGACCCTGAGCTGTTTCTCAGGCTGTCATGTTTCCTCCAGGAGGACTTCAGGAAGATGATGAAAAAGGATTCTTTGGAGGCCAGAAGCTTTGATGGCCTGGAAAGGCAGTCTGGAGATAGCTGGAATATACGAGCTCCAATGCCAGACAGCTTGACTCTATCACTGCCCTGGATGGCGTCCTCTGGACCTGCCAGCCCACAGGGTTCCCCTCCACCATCCTCACGACCTCACAAGGGCAGCATGTACCCCCGCTGTCCAGTTCTAGGCCAAAACCGTGTTTCACGCCGAGCTGCCATCCCCGACGGCCTGCTTCCCAGCTTGAAGGACCCAACTGATGAGGAAGTCTGGCACATCAACAGCTCAGCCCGGCGCCGGGGGGGATGCAGCCAGCCGGCCGCCCGCAGCCACTCGCTCTCGCCGTGTGCCACGCCTGCTGCCCGGCTGCCGAAGAGAGGCAGCTCTACCCACCTGGCAGCTTGCCGGACCAAGGAGAAGGACCCAAAGAAGTTCTCTAGCGTGGATGCCGCCGGCTTCTTGGCCAAGCCCTCTGGGGCCAACGAGGCTCGTCGTCACTCTATCGAGATTTGCCGCTTTGCCAAAAATGGTGATGCCGACGGCTCAGTCCTCGGGCTTCCAACCCACCACCCATGGCAAGGCTCATCCCGGGGAAGGTCCGTGCCAACCCGGAGCCAAACCGCCCCCAGGAAGAAGAAGATGAGCCCACCTTGCATCTCAGTGGAGCCGCCCCGGGAGGCGGAGCTTGCGACCGTCTCCCTCGTTCCCCCTCCAGAGACCAGCACGCTGCTGCGCAGGAGAACCCCCTCCTCCGAGCTGCCCCCGCAGCGTGGTGACCCCACACTGGACCTGCAGGAGACGCTGCAGCCTGCAGAGGTCGCCTCCCAATCTGAGAGCCTCCGGCGCTGTCCTGGCAGCCGTGGGCACCTGTCTGTACTGCAGTTGCCGGACCTGAATGCGCGGAACAGTGTGGCAGATGTCTCTCGGGATTCTGAGCCACTGGGCTCATCGTCCTGCTCTGCCGGCCGGGAGGCTGGGGTCCAGGACGGTCCAAACGTTCGCTCTGACGAGGCCGGTGACCCTGCTTTGGCCAGCCCTGCCAGGAGTCCACTCCGGAAGAGGGGCCTCATTGGAGTGGCGGGCACCAGGACTGAAGATGTGGACGACGCTGTGGCATAGCCGGAGCTTGTCAGATACTGCATCTCTGTGTGGAACAGAGGGAGCCCACCTGACCTGGGTTCCGGTACTTTCCATTGGATATGCAATTTAACTCTTTTCGCACTGGGATCTTTACTTCCCATGGCTCAATCACATTGATTTGGGTTCCAAAATATGTACCGACTTGTTTTATTTTATAGATTTATTTATTTACTGTCATTTCCTTAAAGACACAGTACGTTAAGGTACATATTCAGAAAAAAAACTTGTACATGTTCTGTACATCTTGTGGTATAACAGGAAAATATTGTACCATTGAAGAAAATAGCTGTGTTCATATGCACATATTTTTATAGAGATGAGTGCCGTTTTGCACATACCAGTTTGAATTTGAAGTGGGTTGGTGTTTTGTTGTCCTTTTGTGAATGTACAGTTTTTTTTAATTATTATTTCAGCAGTCGTTGGATTGATTCTTGCATACATAGAGCTGCTGAAAATTTAAGTTTATTTTTTTATTCTGTGGAGAACACAGATCTTTTGTATTGATGAAATCCACTGAAAACCAAACTACTAATTTTCTGTAACCCGAGTGCAATAAGTGATATTCAGGGTTCAATTTATTACAAAGAGATTGTGTGAATATATGGAATTCCCACCGGAAGTGCAGTGTGACCAGAACGATGAACAACCAACCCTTTTTCATTCAAAAGGAGACAAACTTTTAACTACACTTTTATGAATTTTTCTCCCCTTCTGAAAACTGTGCTAGTGACATGAACTCACTGGGAATTTACCACCAACCCGACTGTACATGAAACACTTTGAATAGCCAATCAAATAATAATTGTCACAAAGTGTGTTTTCCTGTATTGTATTTTATGTTTGTAGTTGTTGGGAGTAGGGCTTAAGTTGTTACAGAAAAAGTCAATTGGTCATGATGTTATGATGTGATACAAGAAATCTAATTAGACGTCCCACTAAAACCATTTGAATTTTCCGCCTTGAAGTGGTGCCTTTAGAGTTGGGAATTTCAGGTTTTGACAAGAGTTCAGAAGCTAATTTTAAACAGGATGTGAAGTTTCTCACTTATCAAACGATATTTGATTATATTGCACACAGAAGGAGAACTTTGTGGCTTTTTTTGTGGTACTCAACTGTAACAGTGAGACTACTTAGGGGATTAGAACAAATCTGAAGTTTGTAACATATTTATCACATGTACAAGTATAAAGTTGCATGAATGATTTTACATGGCCGAAGACCCTTTTTGACTAATTTCGGCCTTCAGACTAGTATGTTATTGTGGGTTCAGGGCTTTTTGTATAAAAATGCAATGTTTATAGCTCTCCCACACTTTAATGAGTAGTTTAGGCTTTGATAGGAAGAAAGGGGAAAAATAATTTTAATATGTACACAGTAGGAAACCTCTTCAGTATTTATATGTTTTGAAAATTACACAGGTGATATTTAAATATTTTTAATCTGAATCTTCAAGTCCCGTACTAGTAAAAACAGTTCTGATTTTTTAAATACTTAAAGGGTACTTTTGAAATGAAATTTATTGTGAGTATAAACATTTACCTCAGAAGAAGCATTGATATTTAAAAGCTTGGGAATACGCAGTAGTGCCTCAAATATACAGTCCATAGTAATGGCAAACGTGTTTTCCTCACAGAACACTCTGAATTATTTGTGTGTTTTTGTTTCACTTGCAATAAAATGAAGTATTTTAATTAATATTTACACTCGTTGAACGCGTGCACATCCAAAGAATTTCGTCCTGCTCATAATGTAGGATAAGAAACAGCTCGCGCGTTTTGGCGCCTCGGAACATCAACGGTGTGCGGAGACTTTACTCCCTGTTAATACTTCAAGAAAAACATTGATTCAAAGATGAGCGCTGCACATCTCTCGTTTTTTATCGATGATATTACATTTTGTGTAAGTACTCGATCGATAATATTAACTTAATTTTAACGGCGCCGAGTCACAAAAAGGCGAACGTGATCTTGGTAGTCAGTTGTGTGGGTAAAGCTATGGGATATAATATATCTTGTGGCATCGTTTAAGAGCAACTTTGTGGTAGATTATTCTGTTATTTCATTTTAATTAAGGACGCAAAAACACTCCAATATTTTTTACATTTAATACGCCGAAGATGTTCTCCCTGGTTTACGCTCTTTGTTTCACATGAGAGGCCCAGTTTTATTCACTGGCTTGCAGTGCTTGGCTGAATAACTGGATAGAATTTTTTACCGGCTAAAAGAAAATAAGTCTAAATAAGAACGTGTACGTTCTAACATTCTAATAATCATGATCCTGCGAATATATTTTGCAATCGATAGCTTTATGTAGCCGATGCTGATATCCGTTAACTGGTGACGTGGAAAAATTAGCAAAAGCCTTGCAGGTCCAGAAGTAAAATGGCTAAAACAGACGTAGCATTGATACTGTGTAGCGCAAATGGACTTTTCTAATGGGTGTGCAGATGACTTGCGGAAACTCCAGTAGGTGCTGCGCTATTTAGCGCAGATCGAACTGGCAGCGCGAGAATCCAGAAACAGCGGACGGTAACAAAGGGGCACTTCTTGTATTTCACGTTTTCTCTGAAATGCTATTGAATAAGTTTATTTTATTATTCATTTGCTGACAACCAGATTAAAATCAACATCAATGTCATTGATGATAATTATTATTATTGAGACTGGTTGTTTGACATGTACAGAAGGGGTGTAGTCTGTAAAGATTAAAATGATAAAAAAAGTAAAATATCTTGCTTCTTTACACAAAGACCTGCTCTTAGTAGTGACCGCACATTGACATATTGTGTCAGCGTTTATGTAAACGGTTCTGTCTTTCCAATACACGTTTGGGCTGTAGATGTGTGGAACTAGTCTCACATATGTATCACGTGAGCTGGCTTTCTGTTGTAACTTCATGAAATGAGTATTGTGAGCGTTTGTACGATAATCGCTGAAAAGCCATAGTCTGTTTAGACCATGAATGGGAAGAAATGAAAGTATTTATCTTTGTCTTATTCTCTACTTGAAGTTACGTGTTTAGTTATGTTGCCGTTAACTGCCGTTAATATATATCCATAATAAAACTAAAAATATGAGCGTGCAAGGAAGATTAGCTGTAGGAAAAAAAATAGTTTTAGAAAAGCTTTGAAATTTAGAAGTCGATTTCCCTCGATTTCAATGTTTGTTTTTTATTCTAGATTACTGAAAATTACTTTTTATTCAAAATGTTTTTCTTTTTATTCAAAAATGGCCTGAATCACATATTACAATGTAATATATTGCATCATGCTCATTGGTTTATTTATTTTTAATAAATATCTTTTGTTTACTACTCCTGTAGCTATTTGTCACTTAAACCAAGAACGATGGTTATACGTGAAAGTTTTAGTATAATTTTGATTTAGAGATTGATTGTCACTCTGAATCGTATAAAATGTAGGCCTAAATTGCGAATGTTATTGAAATGTCTTTCAAATTGTATCCTGTTCAGGGTGTTAAGGATAAGAACACAAGCATTATCTTCTGTGTATTTATAGCACCATCCAGTGGTGTTTTGAGAAAACACGAAATAATTATTCATTCAAAGAATACCCCTGGTGTAGCTACGCGGACCCAGGTAACAGGAAACGTTCCCAGAATATTAGCCAACGTTATACACTCACCTAAAGGATTATTAGGAACACCTGTTCAATTTCTCATTAATGCAATTATCTAAT